TAGCCTTTTTAGCACCCTGTGTTTATCGCTTGTTGTACTGTCTTGGTGGGTAGCGTTTTGTAACATCCTGTGTTTATCGTTTGTTGTATTGTCTTGGTGAGGTAGCGTTTTGCATTACCTTGTGTTTATCGCTTGTTGTATTGTCTTAGTGGGGTAGCGTTTTGTATCACTCTGTTTATCGCTTGTTGTATTGTCTTGGTGGGGTAGCGTTTTGCATTACCTTGTGTTTATCGCTTGTTGTATTGTCTTGGTGGGGTAGCGTTTTGTATCACCTTGTTTATCGCTTGTTGTATTGTCTTGGTGGGGTAGCGTTTTGTATCACTCTGTTTATCGCTTGTTGTATTGTCTTGGTGGGGTAGCGTTTTGCATTACCTTGTGTTTATCGCTTGTTGTATTGTCTTGGTGGGGTAGCGTTTTGTATCACTCAGTTTATCGCTTGTTGTATTGTCTTGGTGGGGTAGCGTTTTGTGTCACTCTGTTTATCGCTTGTTGTATTGTCTTGGTGGGGTAGCGTTTTGCATTACTCTGTTTATCGCTTGTTGAACTGCCTTGGTGGGGTTGAACGCCAGTCAGTTTAGTAGATTTTCTAATCACCTAATAAAGCGCGCAATTTGTTATTCTAAAATCCATCCCGTCTTCCGTTTCGTTCCGTTTTACATCAGTCTGCTGTTAGCAGATGAAGCTGCAAACAGTCGCCGGTTATATTTGTGGTATCATTTATTTGCTTCACTTTCGTGGCTAAGGTTCTGGTATGTGCAAAAGCTCTCTGGCTTAATGTCTCTGTCCCACCCCGTCTGTGGCCAGGCGCCCTAACGGTTGGACGGGGGTTCTTTTCTAAATGGTGGCACCCTGTATCAGTGGATGGTAATCGCTCGTTGTGCAGTCCTGGTGGGTTAAACGTCACTCACTCAATAACGGATGCCTCTGTCTTCCCGTTTTCCCATCTGAGCTGATGTCTTATCATTTGAACACCTTATTTTGCGACTTCCGGATAACAATTAAATTGGACAAAACTCAGATGCCTCAGTCAACTTTCAAAAGGAAAAATAGTTATAATTAGGGTATCTCGGGCGGCTATACTACGTGGTGTACATTTGAGCCTGTGGCGCTAAAAGGTGGTATGAGCGCTGAATAACTCCATTGAAAGTATTTTGCATTTATGTAATTATAGTAGTTGTGCGTGCGTGAGAAAACATAATGACATTACACACACAATTTTCTTCCGCTGCAGTTTACATATAACGAGAGAAAGAAACTCTCCCCCCCCCCTCTCTCTCTCTCTCTCTCTCTCTCTCTCTCTCTCTCTCTCTCTCCCTCTCTCTTTCTGTCTCTTTCTCTCTTGCACGTCAGACACAGAGAAGACAGAGAGGAGAATGATCAATATGATACTTGTTGAGCTGTACACGGTAACAATTTATATAGCAGCTTGTGTCGGGTTATTTGAGGGCGTATTTATGGGATACAAAATGAGAAGAACCATAGTAAATATATAAGTACATAATAACGAGCAATGATCAGGGACGCTCAAGGTGGTCGGCGAGGGCGGGGGTAAGCAAAGTTTTATTATTTGTATTGGCTATTGCTAAATTTTGGGGATATTTTTACAAAATTTTATAGTGCATAATTATCAAGTGTATTTAATTTCTTTATGAGTATAATTCAAAGGATATAATTTTTTTTTTTTTTAATGAGTGTAAGCGCCACTGATCAGGGGCGAATGTTTTTATTTGTTATTGGGTGGCGGCCTTCTAGCCCTCTTGAAAACACAGTTGAGTTCTTTGTAGCCAACTCCATTCAAGTGGCGCCCATGTACCTGCCATACAACAAGTACAACACTGGCCACGATAACGCAGTGACTAGACGTTTATCTGCTGTATTGAAGGTCTTGGGTTCAATTTTTTTTAAAGACACGGGAGCAGGCACAGCAGGAGTCCACTGGTCATCAGTAAAGATCCTTCGTTAACAATTGTTTCGGCACCTCTGCTTCTCTAAAACTCTCGGAAGGTGGGCCGACCTGGGTCATAAAGGCCCCGATCTTTCCCTGCTGCACTTTATCGGACTCGACTAGGGCGGATTTAAAAAAAAAATTAATTAATCTAGTCTCTTAAGTCGACCTAGCCTAAAATATGTACGAGGTCATGGGGGGGGGGGGGGATGGAACAAGATGTTGACCACTCAGCCCATCTTGTGTCTTCTGGTCTATAAAGTATGGGTATAACACATACCTGATGCGCCACTAGCTTGAAACGCGTCGTTTACTTAGAACAGAAAAGTTAAGAGTCACAACTTGGACAACATGACATTAATTAACACGGTCAACTTGGTTTAAGAAATGAGTAATATTATCTTTACCTGTACTGAACTCCCGGGCAGGAGCGCCGACAGCAAAAAGAAATACTGGACAGGGGCGCTATGCAGCGTCCACCCCTCAACCTTCCCGCCTTACAAATTTGCTAGGCAAAGAACGTGAGCTGGGTTGGGGTGAAGAGGGAGGGGGATAGTTCAAAGGGCATTATCACAGTTTAAGAGAATGAATCATTAAATAATAGTAATGTGCTGAATGACACCCCCCTCCCCCACCCTAAAAAAAATAATATACTTGAAATAACATGAAATGTATAAAAACAAACACTTTTCATAGAGAATTTCTGAACATCGTTAAAAGTGACCAATATTCCACCTTTATAAAATTATCTGGGAGGAAAATGGGGGGGGGGGGAGGGGAGGGGGGGACTAAGACTCTCTTTACTTGGGGGGGGGGGTGGGGGTTGTTTCAAGGGGTATAGGCCACCAGGTTCTGGTGCCTATGTAGGTGAGTGTATTATTAACTTGTAGTGTTAGGGGTGCTCTAATTATGCTCTGAATAAACACTATTTTAAATTAAACGGTGTATCTGAAGCATATGCGCCGGAACTTAGGGCCTCACGTCCCTTAAGCCCCCCCCCCCCCCCCCCACCATGGGGGAAATTTTCAAATGAGGACATTTGCTTGAAGAGTATTTGTTTATGCCTTTTGTATTATTTCGTATGCTTATTTGCCACAGCACAGTAATAATAATAATAATAATCACAATAATAACAATGATAATAAAAATAATAGTAATAATGTCTGATTGGAAAATAATAACAGAAAAAAAAAATAAAACGAACTGTATGAACATATTTAATGAAAAAACATGATTTAAGAAGATATCCTAGCTAGTTCCCTAACACAATTATTATCGGCACAGGGCTCAGAAACACCCTCTCCCCTAACCAGGCTCTCCTCACCACCCTGCAAGTTTTCTTGGCTAATAATTTGATGCTGGAGCGCTAAAGTCATTGAGTACCAACCTCTTCCCCCTCCCCTCCTCAAACTAATAATCTTGTAAGGGAGATAGATAGATAAGGCGCAAGGCCTGCAGCTGGGATTGAACCCGGCACCCCGGCATTACGAACCGCGTTCGCAACGCCTTAGCCACATACGCCGACATATAAATTATAAATGAAGAATTATTAATACTGTAATTTCTATTGATGTTCACGATGACAAATAAACATAACATACTTGAAATAATATAAAATGCATCAAAGCATGTTTTTAAAGAAAATGTCTATACATGGTTACAGGCTGAGGCCCCAATCCCTAAAGACTATGTGTGTGTGTGTAATCTGGTAATCTGGTAATTTTAATTTCAGCTTCATAGCAAACGGGTCACCCTATCTTTGCTCAGCTCCTGTGCCAACGAAAAGCACACAGAATGTTTATCACAGCCCCTTGTGGGAAGACTGACAAACTGCTCTCTCAGCAAATCTAGCATACACTCGCATTAAAAGCATATGGTAGCCACAATCGGCATTGCGCCATATATATATCGGGAGAGTGAGACGAGGGAAGAATTATGCCGAATGACCACAAATATGTAAGACACTGACACAGGGAATTCCCTAAGCACATAAGGTCGGAATGACTGGCTCCAAGAAGGGGACAGTAAATTCAAATGGCTCAGTCAGATCAGACACAGTCCCTGCTGTGACAGAAAGTTGGCTGAAATAAAGGACTGCCGTAGAAAGGTGCACCCGAGGGACGGTGTGTGTGTGTGTGTGGGGGGGGGGGGCTTCGAGGAACCTGAGCCCCATGTTCCGCACCTTTACCACCTGCAGTTCTCTGGAGCTAACGTGAGTGAGGTTCAACCGCATTAGCACCGCACAACGAGCGACAAACACACGGTGACATAAAGTATCACTATTCGGACGAGAGAGAGAATCACCTGGGCGCAACGCATAGGTTATATCATTGGGACGGGGATTATTTTGTCTAAAGCTGGCTGGCCTTCAATCCCACTAGGACATCACACCGAGCGATAAACACACAGCGACACCATTCGGATGAGGATCACCCAGGCACAGGTCGCAGAAGCCTTGTTTAACCCATAGGCTGTGTTATATTAGGGCCCCTGGCAACAGCCAGGGTGGGGCTTTAAAAAAATGCGTCTGACAAAAGAACGCAGATTAATTGTTGTCTAAAGCTAACCTTCCTTTGTTGTATACTGTCATAAATATAGTGCATCTTTATGCCTCTTAAAAATGTAATATTGACTATTGTAACATTACACCTGTTAGTGAATTAGCAAATCCCAGTATAGTAACTACTACTTTCGATTTTTATGTTGTATCTACGCCTGTCCTCTCCTTCTATAAGTACAATACTTGTAAACTTATTTCGCACGTCATTCCGATGGCCTCAAGGGTTCCCCCAACGATTATCAGTGAAAGCAGCGGAGGCCAGCCAGGTAGTTCCTGTCACAAGACCATGGCGTAATCAATACAGGAGAGCTAACTCCTGTATCTACCACCGTCCAACACTGGGAAGGAAAGTAGTTCAACCCGCTTCTCACATACGGGCATTTATTTTCTTGTGTTTATTTTTTCGTCATCGCGAGTGGGCTTTGGGTCCAGGCCTGGGGACTAAAAGTGTGGTGTCCAGTGCTGTAGCTCATCCACTACATTTTACATACATATATGGCTTCGTCACAGACAATATATGGCCTACCTCAGGATGCCGTAAGTTTGATAAAAATGGGCGGCATGTCCACTGGGTCAGGCTGCTTTGCTTTTGCTTAACTAACTAGCGGTTATTTTAGAAATGAGATGACGGCCTGCATTCTACAGGTAGTACTAGTAAGTAGTACATTATAGAGACACTAGTGACACAATGTCATGCGGGGAGTCTGCTTGGTACTTGATAAAGTAATGTTAGTCTGCTCTACTGGTGGTGTATTATATTATATGTAATATGTACTGTACTCTTCGCACATTGCATAAATGATAATCGTTACTTTCTAGATGAGGGTCAAGAGGTTGACCCATTGTTTTGTATTGTACTCACTGACCAGGCAAGTGGTGTCATAGTGCTATTGTTAATGAATTTCTGCGTATCTTGATTATTGGTGTCCTTGCTCCTACACCTGTTACATTTGTTAAGAAGTGCGTTTTCTGCAATTTTATAAAAGTCTGTCAGTGACATTCTTCATAGTTTTTTTTTTTTTGATTCAGTCAGTTGTTATCAAATGAAACTGGTCTCCATTGTACCTTTCAGCCAAAATAAATCTATTTATTCAAAATAAAAGGTTACATTAGTAGATTTATAACGTATATAATTCATAGTTTTAATGTTTCACTTTTTAAAGACGGAATTGTTTTGCTGGGGTTTGGACAGATTAATTTTGAGCTGAGTTTTTTATAACGACAACTTGACAATGCTAAGACTGTGCAATCGGGAGGATGCCTTACCAGTTAAGGTACTTTAGGGGTTGCTCTAAAAAGGGCAAATCATTCTAGATACATATTGCTGAGTTCACAAATAGACACTCAGAACACGTTAGTAGGTCTGGAGAGATGTTGGATTGCGGCAACTGTTGCAGCAGCAAAGACGACAGACTATTGTTCTGGTAGCCAGACTGTAACAATGTCTGCCTGGCAGCAGCAGAGACGACAAACTATTGTTCTGGTGGCCAGACTGTAACAGTGTCTGCCTGGCAGAAGCAGAGACGACAGACTATTGTTCTGGTGGCCAGAATGTAACAATGTCTGCCTGGCAGAAGCAGAGACGACAGACTATTGTTCTGGTAGCCAGACTGTAACAGTGTCTGCCTGGCAGCAGCAGAGACGACAGACTATTGTTCTGGTGGCCAGAATGTAACAATGTCTGCCTGGCAGCAGCAGAGATGACAGACTATTGTTCTGGTGGCCAGACTGTAACAGTGTCTGCCTGGCAGCAGCAGAGATGACAGACTATTGTTCTGGTGGCCAGAATGTAACAATGTCTGCCTGGCAGCAGCAGAGATAACAATTATTCTGGTGGCTAGAATGTAACAATGTCTGCCTGGCAGCAGCAGAGATGACAGACTATTGTTCTGGTGGCCAGAATGTAACAATGTCTGCCTGGCAGCAGCAGAGATAATTATTCTGGTGGCTAGAATGTAACACACACCTGCCTTTGAACTATGTTTTTTTGGGGGCTTTTATTTTTCCTCATCTCGGGGACTCAAGATTTTGCAGGGAATTTCAGGGACAGTCCAATAGTATAGGGGTGTTAGATTGTGAAATGAACACTGACTAACACTAACCCTAGTCTCCCCTATAACATTGAACTTTCCCAGGAATTTTCAATGAAATCTCAGGACCCCGAGATGGGGGGAAATAAAAGAACAGGACCGAACTGTGTCCTTAGCCTTTGAAAAACATTTGTATTGCTAGAAAAAGTGAGTACCCTACATTTGTGGTTTGGAAATACTGTCCTTCCTGCATGTGTTTGCCACTTTAGTGGTGTAGGACAGAGAGATCTCTAGCCTGAGGATTGAGGGGCTGAATAGCTACTGCAGTCATTGCAAACTGTGAGGTTGGGATTTGTATTTATTCCCACACAGAAAAAAATTTCTATCCCTTACCGAGGATTAAACCAAAATCTTGTGCATGAGAGCCCAGCACTCTAACCGCTCTACCCGCTGCTCTTCTTACATTATGATAGTCTAGCTAAAAGCAAAGGGCACCGCAAAGATGTTTACTGACCCCAGTAGTCAGTTCCCAGAGCTGCATTGTCACACTCTGGTTTCCTGTTCTCTAGCACTTGTGTGAAAGGCTTTGAGAGAGCAGACTCTCTGGCTGGCAATGAAATGATCAGGAATGGGCCCTCTATGGATAAGAGAGACATCATCAATGCCTTATGAGAGCCCAAATGCTGTGAGGCTTTCAGTTTTGTGGAAAATGATTTTTCACTGAATAGACTTCATTTCCTGGGTGTACCATTTGAAGCAGCGAGACAGGAGAGCCAAGCAGGAGCCACCCGTCATTACATCATCTAGAACAGAATGGGTGTTGTAGCCTATAAACACTTGAATACATACTCAGGAGGAGATCAGAGTACTTGTGGTCATGTCAGATGTGCGACGAAGATGATCTCAAGAATGAACAATGTACCAATTGAAGATTTAATAAGAATTTTCCCTTCTTTAAATTACACCATAATGGCCTTTCTCAGGCTCTTCAGTATTTGTTGAAGAACCTGTTCAGTGAAGCTGTCTAGTTATGTGACTAATTGTTAAAAATAAAAATACTTTAGTAATTGCATTTAAGTCGGGTCTCCTGATGACTTATCTGCTAAAGATTCTGACATAAATGGCTCTAGGACAAAAGAAATGAGTTAAAAACTATTAAAATCATTTTAGCATACCAGAGTTGTCAAAGGTATGTGTCTTTGGCGGGACTAACAAAGGGAAAGACTGTGTGTACACACATACAGATTATTATTGTGTTTATGTACTTACTGTCTCATAGTATGGTCTCTGGAATTGGAGTGAGGCATTTCGAATGATATCTGTTTGTAATGAAGATTTTTCTTCTTTTTCTGCATTTTCATTTAAAATGGCAGTTGACACATTGTATTGTGGTTTACAGCTAGGCTGTGATATGTATGCTACCTTTTGGTCCAGCACGCCGTGTTTCAACAAACCATTAATTCAACACTGTTTACTTCCTGCTTATTAAGAAGCTTTAGGTTTGCCGCATCTGCCCCTTCCAAACCAGAATGAGATGCCAGAACCTCCACATTTGGTGCAATAAATAATCCTTTACAAACCAAACCAGTAATTTCTAGATTCAATATGTGATGTATTTTTCCCCATGGCTTTCTACTTCATCTGATCTCAACAAAAAATATTAACATATACAAATGTGCATACAGGTATATCAGTAATCACCTGAACCCTTTTAGTAATCAGTAGCGCACCATATGGGCATTGTTACTTCATACATCACATACATTCCTGACTTTATTCTGCTCCTTTCTTCTGTTACAATAATCCGTTCTGTTAAAATTGTCTGCTTACCTCATCCCTCTGTGGAATATGTTTATTATTTTACCTCAGTCACACACAAAGATTGTACCTCATAAGTACACATATTCAACATATGAAATGTTCAAGTAATACGTACTTGGGATTGAAAGAGTTATGCAGTGTACATTTCAGAATTGATTTCTTATTGATTCTCACTGAAGTGAATTTTTATGTGTAAAGCTTTTGCTCTCACCAGAACCTCTTGTGTGTGCCATCCGTACTTCCCAAACACACATGTATATGTGGGAGCCCTTAGTATTAGTTACTCCATCCTTTCAAGAGAACACTAATCAACAGGATATCACATAGTGCTCAGTCTGTCTCTGCAGAATGGACTGCTGCCTGCTGAAATTGTCACACAAAGCACAGACTCCATAGCTCCAGTGACAGTCCTCAAAATCTCCATAAAAATTGCACTCATGAAGTTAACGTTGTAGTCCAAGAAACAAACCAAAGTCTTTCAATGTGTGAGGTAAACAATGTAGCCATGGAGCTGCTCTTCCCTTCCCCTCCCCCTGCAAGAGTGGTTTAGAATAAAAGGCATCATTAGGGTAAGGTGTTAGGTCTTCTTTCTCGATATATTTGTTCCAGGTACGATTATTGCACGAATGTTTTCTATCCAAGGCCATCATCTTGTCCTCACCTCTTGATTCAGTACAAACTGATTTTCATACCATTAACTTAGTTTTCACTATAAGTTTAAGACTTCTTCATGCTCATTCCATGATGATAGGTGAAAATGGCTGCAGTATTGCTGAAGCAGTTATCATATGTCTGCATCCAGGATAAGTGTGTCATTGAAAATAAAAACAGTCCTGTCATCCATTGCTCACAGTTAAGTATTATTAATCTCGTAGCAAATATTTGCGTGAAATCAAAAGTATTTATGTAAACTTCTTGACTATATTACCAGTTGCAATGACCTGAAATGCTCATCGCCAGCTTTAAAAAAAATGTGTTTGTCGGCTGACTTGAAGTAATTGATATGTAAAATGTAAAGGCTACATCATATGGGATCCTTCTCCAGGTGTGTGAAGTTTTAAGTCTTCACTAGATCATGGTTCTTCTTCTACGTTCTCTCTTACACCGGTAATTGTGGTTTACGGGTAGGCTGTTATTTCTGTGCCTTTCAGCCTAATGCGGCTTATTTCAACAAATTCTTAAATAGTCATTTTTTACAACACGCTTGTCAAGAAGCAGCGGATCTGTCTAGTAAAAAATATTTATTTGAAAACAACACAAACAAGAATAAGTAATGAAAGCATTGAGGTTTTCCCCACAGCTACAGTTGTTATTTAATTTACTAAGACAGCTTTCTGTCCTTTACTTTTTAAAATTTTTATTGTACATCTATGAATTCATTTGTGTTAAGCTGCAAAATGATGTCGATTGTATAAATTAGGTTACTGATGACATGTTTTGTATATTACAGGATGTTCCAGAAGGCACAACAAAACTTCTGCGTATCAAAATTATAGAAGGAGTTAATCTTGCAAAGAAGGATATTTTTGGTGCTAGGTAATTATTACAAGAATAGTTTACTTAATGATTTTCATGTTTTCTTTTCCTATCAAATTAATTTTGGTCATACAAAATATTATACATTAGTACTGTGGGTGGAAGAAAGTTCTTGATCAATGCCTGATGTGTGGGTGACTCTATCCCTTGATTTCCTACCATAGGATAATATTGTGTTCTATTACTTACAACATTTAGCCACAAGATATTAAAGAAATAGGTTAACTAGCTTTGTATATATTGCCACTTTGAAAATAATGCATTAATGATTTTTCATTATTGTAATTTCTTCACTTGATAATCTCCTGTGAAACATTTGGTACCAAAAGAGTTAACTGCCCACTCTGTCTCTACAGGACAGTAGGTTTGTGTCTCTCTTTGTCTGCTCTCTGTCCCTTGATGTGTCCAGCACATTAGACCCTACCAGTAGCTGCACTACTGTTGACATAGCTCTTGGAGTCTTTGAAACATACAGACCTTTCTGTCCCTTTAAGCTGGAGGCACACAGAGAGGAAAATTACATTAAAACACTGTCATACATGTCTGAGTGCTGGTTTAGGATCATATAGACTTAGTTGTATTCTAGATATAAATAAGGAAAAACACAAGAGCTAAAAAAAATGTGGAAGCGGATCAGAGCAGATAAAAGACATTATTTACAGGTTAACCAAGTAGGAGAGGGAGTCGTGGTAGCGGCCAGACGCTTGCTTGTCGACCGGAAGGTTTGGTTTCAAATCTGCATCAATGCTGAATTTTTTTCCTTCACATTTTGAATCAAACACAAAAGTTAATAAAGAATTAAGGAACTACAGATCAACAAGCATAGATCTCTGTTAAATAAAAAAAGACACTTGACCCAGCAGGCTGTTCTCACATGGAACCCAGGCCGCTGTAACATTACGGGAAAATAAAAGAGCAGCTACTTAGCAAAAAAACTGGGAGCCATATGGGCTACCAGATGCAGGATACACTTAGAGGAAAATAAAACCAACTTCCGGTCAAAATGGACGCCAGGCGCGGTTACTGTTTCGCGTCGAGGCAAATTTTTTGCTTCTGCCAGACCGTGACCGTTGCATTTTTGATCCATTTGTAGACTGAAAGGGTACAGTTTCGTCGCACCAGCTACTGAGTAGAGTGCATGGCGCGACCCTGTGAGCTGCGGATTTCATTTGGAATGTTTTTCGAGTGTGATCAACGTGGTGTTGGGAACTGTAGGTTCAGAAAAGGGTGCGTATCTGTCACCGCAATATTGGTGGTGCCTTTATGTGATTAATATTGATCGCGTGCGCAACTGCTGATCTGTTGGCGACTTCTACCATCGATGAACTGCATTTCTACAGTCAAACTGTTTGTGTTAGCACTTCTGATGGCTACCATATGCTTTTAATTCGTGTGTATGCTATTGCATAAGCTGAGACAGCAGTCTGTCAATCTTTCCACAAGGGACTGTGATAAGCATTCTGTGTGTTTATTATTGGCACAGGAGCGGAGCAATTATGGGGTGACTCGTTTGCTATGAAGATGAAGCTAAGATTACCAAGATTACCAAAACCGAGATCAAATGGTGCTAGGGAAGGGGATGGAAACATTACATCCATCAGCTTTGTGTTACCCTACTATAGTCTGACTGCCTTCATTAACAACTGCACTCCACAGCCATGCAGCTGTTTGGCATGAAGGAAATACCTTGAGCTTTAATGTGGACTACCGACACAACCTTTCTTATTCTCTGAAATCACCTGTGGCTGGTGGGGTTTTCTTGATGCTATTAGTTGGCTTAGCTGCTGCATTTAAAGATCCACAAAGGAATGGAAGCATTTACTGAGATGTTTCATGTTTCTGAAGGCTGGCTAACTACATGACTAAGTTAGTTAGTTAGTCTTTTCTTTTGGGCCTAAGGTGGCGCATAGGGCAGAGGTCATAGTTCTCTTTGTCTGGCGATTTGTTGCGACTTGATTTAGGTCTTGGATATTCATTAGGCCCATAGTTGCACTTTCCCTGATGATGTTTCTACGCAGAGTCTCTCTTGGTCTTCCCCGTTTTCTTTTCCCTTCAGACTGTTAACTGACGGCCCGACAAGTCGCCATCGCAAAGCCTTCATTGTTAAAGAATTAGATTTCTAGCTCTTAATGTTATGATGGTTCATTCAAACTTGCCAATGAAGCATCCGATTAAAAAAACAAAAACAACAACAGCAGTGTACTTGAAAGAGAGGACAGTTGAATCAATATAGCTCAAGAGATCACATTCATAACTCTGGGGCCTATATATTCAGGTGCAAACACGGAAATATGCAACCCCTTTTTATTCTTCATTCTAACATATTTTCAGATTTGTTCTGTTTTTACTCAATTCTATTCAGTATTGACTTTTGTTAGTGGCAGGGACAAAAAGATATTTACATGTGTGCAAAAAAACAATTGCATAATAGAACATGAGCATTTTAATTACAGAGTATGTGCATATTATATAATGAGGAATAGAGATGCATTGATAGAGATGCATGCAGTATTTACTGATCATAGATACAGCACATGCATACGTACATTCTGGTAATCTGGTAATCTTCTGTGCCAACGAAAAACACACAGAATGTTTATCACAGTCCCTTGTGGAAAGATTGCCAAACTGCTGTCTCGGCATATGCGCTAGCAAACACACGCATTAAAATCATACGGTAGCCATCCGAAGTGCTAACACAAACAGTCCGACATTAGAAATGCAGTTCATCCGTGATGGGAGCGCTGGTGACTAGCAGAAGTCACCATCAGATCAGCAGTTGCACACGTGATCAATTTAAATCACATAATGGCACCACCAATATTTTGACAATCGGCATCGTGCCATTTTCTAAATCTACAATTCATACCACCACATTGGTCACAGTCGAAAAACATTCCAAATGAAATCTGCAGCTCACAGTGTCACACTCAGAAGCTGGGCAACGAAACTATATCCTTCCAGTCTACGAATGGACCAAAAATGCAACGGCCACCGTCTGGCAGAAGTAAAATAATTTGCCACGGCTCAAAACAGTGGCCGTGCCTAGCGTCCATTTTGACCAGAAGCATTATGTGAGGGTTAATAAATGGTCACCCCAGCAGAACCCTCACTATAAGCTGGGGAAGGGACTTAGGACATTACATCCACCAGCAAGCGTTGCTCCTACAATGACCTGACTGCTTTCGTTAACGACTATACACCCAACAGCCTACTGTTGTCCCGTAGCCAAAATACCATTGCACTGTATTACTAAAATTCAGCACGCATACTCAAACGTGCAGTGGTAAAAAAAAAACTATTAAAAACACACATACACACACATATACATACACTCATTACCTGCCACCCGCCCCACTTGCCGGTGCGGCACACATGCCTATATATATATATATATATATATATATCGGAAGAGAGAGAGTGAGACAAGCGGAGAATCATTCTGAATGACAACAAATATTTTAGACACTGACACAGGGAATTCCCTATGCACAAAAGGTCGGCGTGACTGGCTCCAGGAAGGGGGCAGTGAATGCAATTGGCTCAGTTATAAGATACAGTCCCTGCTGTGACAGAAAGTTGGCTGTAATAGAGAGCTGCCCTAGAAAGGTGCACACAAGGGACGGTTTCAGAAAGAGATGCATACTTTGTGATTGGGTCACATTGCTTGAACAATGTATTCTGCAAGCCACAAGGGGTTGCATTCACATTTTCTAGGTTCTAACAGTAGTAATGCATAGCGATGACTAATAATAATCATTAACAGCCCAGCCAGTACATACATAAATCGGCATAGACAGAAAGAGGGATCACCGCGTAACTAATTACAGCAAAAATTTAGCGTTCATTGAGTCTTCTGTTTCGATATCCAAACGTGCTTGTTTTCAGTCATATACATACATTCGTATGCATAAGGACATAACAGGTAGAAGAGGGATAGAGACAGAAAGAGCTATTGTCCATATTGATCCAATTACTATCTGTAAACAACTAAATTGATGCTGTGGGTTTGTGTGTCCAAATAAAACACTGCTGATTCCTACAGGCAGTGTGCCATGCAGCTATGGAAACCACTTTATTTTCACACCCCCCCCCCCCCCCCCCTTTTTCCCCCAGTCTAATGTTAATATTTTTCTTCTTTTGTCATACTGCTTAAGCCATAAAATGTCACAGAGAGGAGTTGTATGTAATTTTAAATCTTTTGCTAATTGGTAGCTTGTGTTAATGTCATATTGAGTTTCTGTAGTGTCTGTTTTACTCCCTCAACCAATCTCTTTCTTAGTCAGCCTCTTGCTTTGTAGCCTGTTGTTCTCTTATAGTACGCTCTAGCTGCTGGTTGATTTCTTTCTGTTTTGACCAGATGACCAAACCATTTGATTCTCTGATATTCTTTGAAATCATTCACCGGTATTGTGTTACTGTTGCTCTTAGTTCTTTACTGATGGCTCTGTCTCTTGTTTTTCCAGCCACATTATATATATTATCTCACATGTTCTAATTATACATTTATGTTTATATTGTAATGGTAAAAGATAAAGGACCCACTTTGTGGCTTATTAGAAATATGGTGCTTCAGTGGAATTCAGGTTAGCAGTGAAAAGTGCTTCACTGTGCTGTTTTGCCTCCTTGACTCTTTCCATCCCTTGGAATGCACTCTGTGTGATCAGTTATTGTCTGTGTGTATCCACCAGCACATTGTCCAAGTCTGGGCTTTAGTTTTGTTTTAAAAACTTTAGATCTGCATGTACTACCATTTTACAGATCTGTCATATTTGTAAGCAGACTGTTGGTTCCTCATTTATCAGGCAGATGTACTCCTTGACTTTGAAGGAATCACCCCTAATTAGTACACACTTACCACATGCTTGTTAGGTGGACAGTGAGTCTGTGTTCTTGACCCCTAAATGCAACCCCAAAGCCCACACAGGGAAAAAGTATAATCCGAGTGATTTAACAAAAAAAAACTTTTCCAGTGAGGCATATGGAGTAGAGATTAGTGTTTGTTTACCTTTGTAAATAAGAAAAAATATCTGCATGTAAAATTTGAACAGTTCGTAGAGCTGAGATTATATTTAATATAACTTAATATTTCTGGTATTTATGTTATTTTTATGGAACAGTTATATGAAAGAATGTGAAAGAATGTATGTTCATGTGCTTGCATAGTGTGACATGTTTTCTTTCCTTTTATGTTACTGTTTTTTTTTTTATTGAGCTATAAACTGTTTGTGTTAATAATTGACGTCACTAGTATGTTTAAAATATTCTTACTGGTAATGGAACATTTTATATTTATTATCAACAGTGACCCTTATGTCAAGATATCTCTGTTGCAAAATAATATCCTGATAGATACGAAACAAACATCTGTTGTCAGGAAGGTAAGTGACAGCTACTACAACAGTACTCTGTATATTGGTGGGTTTCTAACACAGTTTTGATATGTAAAAGTAAATATTTTTCATAAAGAACGCATCTTATGCAGTGAATCCCTACAGTTGGGGTTTAGAAAAAATTCTTGCATGCTACATAGAGCCAATTTTAATGCATGGCTGGGAATCCTGGACAATTAGTAAACAGACTTTAAAAAAGAACACAATTTTTTAAGCCTCAGAGATGTGATTTTTACAGAATAATGCTGATAATTCCATGGATAGCTAAAATAATTTATCCAGATGTTTTGAAAGAGGCTAAGATTCAAAGACAGCTTATCACAAAATTCAGAAGGTGGTCATAATTTTATTATAGATTAAGAGAAGAGGAAAAACTGGAATTAGTTGGGACAACTTTAAACATGATAAGAGTAAAACTGGAACAGATTGTAAGAACTGGGAAATTGTATGGAAAGGGATCGAGAAGACAACGAGAGAAGATTCTTGACATCCTTTTGTAATGCAATGGAATGTTGTCAGCACATGAACTGATGCATGGTATTAGAGCTTGCACGATATGGAGAAGCAATAATCACCCATGCCAGTCATTTGGGCACAAGAGCTGGTGTCATCTGGAGTTGACAGGTTCTATTCCCAGGGTGATAATTATAGATTTCAGTGTTTATATTGACTAGTGTATCTTGCTGTTTCTACTTATTCTTTTTTTAAATCTATGGATGACAGTCACAGCATTGCAGATTGTCCATTTTTCTAGCTGTTTGTCTATCCATTCATCCTCCAGTCCTAGATGAATGATGTCTTTCCTACTTCATTCTTGTCATTCATTTGCTGGAGTATGAGGGCGTCAACTTATATTTGAGGGGCAATTATATTGCATTGTTGCATTATATCCTTAGTTTTAGATGTACTTTGATATTGCCTATCCATCGTTTTCTTGGTTTTGAATTGTGACGTCAAAAATCTAATTAGTACCACACTGTACCACACAGTACCACACAGCTAATTCATAAAAAGATAGCAAGCAAGTTTGGATTTATTTTGAGACTGGAATATATCTATGTGACTGTAGTAATAGTGAATCTAGTTACAAAGCAAGAGGAAAGGGTGTCATTTTGGCTTTTGGATGGAAATTTTCCAAGTGAAACAAGCGTAGACCGGAATAAACAGAAACACTGATGCCAAGATAATAGATAGACAAATAGGTAAACTTGGTAATGAAGATTAATGTAATGTAATTGACTGCCTGACAGCTTCTGCCATAGACAAAGGGACAGTTAGATCTTATTTAAAACTTCATAGCAGATATCGTCATTGGCATGTAAGTGTTGAGCTTTTACATATTGTTATTGGCACCTTTACCTTTATTACAGAGAATTAGATAATTATTTGTTTTGTTTGTTAATTTTCAGTCCCTGAATCCCAAATGGTATGAGGAGTTTATTTTTAGGGTAAGTACTATAATGTTTGAAAGGTGTGTATGTTTGTTTGTCTCTGCAACACTGTGAACGACAAACATGCAAAGTATTCACTTCCTTCTGCTAGAAGCGTTATACTGTAATTCTTATAATTTAAAAAAAAAATGTATGTGCGTGTGGGTGAATGGTGAGGGGGTCTAACAATAGAGTACGTTGGCTGATAGGCTGGATCATTTCTCTTTTTGATTTGCCATATTAACCTGTTTGCCCTGGTAACCTTTTAAAAAAAAACCCAGCCAAGCTGTCACCAATTCCATTTTTAAAAATTCTGGCAAAAATCTGCATTTTGCGCATAATAATAAAAAAAAAAAATTCATGATTAAGCCGGACTTGAAAATTACCTTGACTCTCAGGTCGACCCAGCCCTAAATGGGTACCAGGGTATCAAGGGTACCTTGGGCATAAAAGCTCATGAAGTGGGAAAGTTTGCAACACATCCAGTGGCTTTTCAGTGTGCTGTGATGATAGCGACGTTCTATAAAACACCTGCTACATTACGATGATGATAATGATTTTAATTATTTAAAAAAAAATGAACAAAAAACAATGATTGTACTTTTTATAAAGGAGGTATTAAGACTTTTGTCTTACACAGAAAGAAGAAGTAGTAAGGAGGAGAAGTGTTGACTTTCATTACATAATACAGTGACTTAGTATATGAGAGACCCTTATTATTTCAATCTTCTGTTACATTATAGATGAAATAATTTTTAATGATTTACATCGCTCTGACCAAGCTGATTCAATCACTCTTAAATCCTTCCATGCAAAGCAAATTTGCCTCTCACCATAATGAGCTAAAACTGTAAGGAGAAAAACTGCATAGTAATGAACAATTCATGCAGACTAAGTGAGCTTATGAAGAGAAACGTCTGAGCAGCCGCTGATATCATCAGATATAAGTGAAAGAAGATGGTGATGCATTCTGAAGATAAATGGATAGTGAGTCACCAAACAGGCATGGCACATCAGTGGGAAACAAATGGATTGAATGTTGAATTAAAAATCAACATCCCAACCATAAGCGCTCCGTCCCCATCTTCAGCAGCAAGCGAAGAGTTCCAGTTCCGATAGTACCAGTAACTGATTGTATATTCAGACAAATGGATTGAAAAAACAAAGTCATCCATGAGAAACTCTAAGGGGAATATTAATGAGAATATTTAAAGGGGCTGGGCTGGATTTTGAAAACGGCACAGGATAACAGAATGGAAGAATAGACAGCGACTCGTGTGTGACATATCTTGGCAGGACAGGATGATGATTATCAATTGAGCTGATGCATCATGTTCATCATTATCAAGTGCCTTGCCAACTCTTCTAGAAAATCAAGCTTCTCAACATCTTATGATCTCAGACTGCTGTTGGTACCACTGGAATTGGAATTCTGCGCTTGCTGCTGCTGAAGATGGGGACAGAGTGCTTATGGGAATGTCCTGAATGCTATGATGTTGATTCCTAATTAAATATTAAACATTATGATATCCAACAGCTCATATCACTTCATTTACCTTTTTAAAAAAAAATGTTATGACATAAATACTCGGTGACCATAGTCGAGCTGATGACACAGAGTGCTAAATAACATAAAATATGACTATAAATTTCAACAGATGGAATGGAAAAGACACACATAAATACAACTGAATGTTTTGACCAAAGTCTTTATTGACGGATTACTGAATACAAAACACACTTTGACTGAAAACCTCAACAGACAACAGAGCTTATTTAAAACCAATGTCAGCGTTAAACCAAGAAATACATAATCGGTCAAAATTAAACATTTTAATTTATCTTGCATTTTCATTTTTTAAAAATTTTTTTTTGATTTGTTTTCTTGTTGAGTTAATAGAAAGCTGAAAATTGATCTTTGTTTTATTCAGAGTTTTGTTTGTTTGTTTGTTTTTCAAACCAGGTGAATCCAGCAGATAATGTTGTGCGTCTTGAAGTGTTTGATTCAAACAGAGTGGTGAGTAAACTCCTAGAACATAATGTTAACTCAGAAAGTGGTTTCATCAGCTGTCTCTCTGTTAGCCTTTTATGTCTATGGATATTGATATGTTATTTGTATTTACCAATTAGTATAGAGGGAATTGAATGGAATTATTGTTATAATTATTATTATTTTAAGCTAAGTATGTCACTTCGACTGATGAGTGTGTTTTTATAAATAGACCCTTAGTATTTTATTCTTAGTCTTCCTTGAGCTCTGTCATTAGAGTTTCTTCACTTGTTGGCCAGTCTTGTAGATACTTAGTATTCGTGTTCACAAGGAATCTAAACTACTTTGTTGTTTTATTGTACATTTGATGCTGGGGGTTCTACTTATACAGGTTGTTAGTAAAGTCTAACTACGCACTTTTTATGTAAAACAAATCTGCAAAACAAAATACCTGACATCATTAAAAAAAAACATGTGCTCCAGATACAATTTCCTGACAAACAACCTCATAGCATTAGGGTTAGAAATGTGTTGAATAAGTTATAATGAATATTTCATTGGTACTTTAAGCTTGCCTAGACCAGCATGAGATCATAGCAGTGACTATTGTAACTACTTTTATTACCTTTGTATAGCAAATTTTTGTTTGATGTTATGTACTGTTTTTTTTTTAAATAATTTTTCTGCATACAAAGTATAGTGGGACTTCAAAAATATCCTGTATTTATATCCTAATTTGTACATCTGAAAACTGGCATCTTTTCCTGAGTATTTTATTAAACTATTAATGAATGGGTTTTAATTTGGGATCGTTTCATGTTTGGCACTGATAGCAGAGTACTGAATGAAGTATACTATTTATAACTTGTTGGACTGCTTTACTTATCTGCATATTCCTGAGTAATTGTCACAGAAAAAAAGACATTAATGGTATTTATAGAATGATTGCCATTTCAGTATTGAGGTTAAAATAAAACATCTTCTAATAAACTCTCATGTTGTGGTTACTTCTGTTTAATCTTGTGTATTCTCTTAATGGCTGCCTTGTTTATCTTGCAGACACGAGATGACTTCTTGGGCCTGATTGAAATTCCATTAAATCATGTGCACATTGCTACAGAACGGACAGGCAGAGATATACCCTGCAAAAATTTTGTTCTAAGGCCTCGCAGGTTAGTGTCTTAGACAGGCCTTGGTTTTTCTGTTTATGTTAATTGTAGGTACTGTCAAGGAGTACTGGATCCTTTTCCACACGATATTGGATATTTTGTTGTAGCTCCATATCTTTACAGAGCAGTTGGCACTTTTTCATCTATGTAAAAATTCAACATCAGAGCATTCAGGACCATATAAGCTTTGTCTCCCTTCCCAGCAGCCAGAGAAGAGTCTCCACATTGGCACCCATTATCATCTGGTTAACTACTTGCCTTTCCTTCTGAGTTCCCACTGGTGTTTAGAGCCTGATAGCTCTCCACGCCGCACTGTTCTCTCCAGATGAAGGTTTTCTATTCTACTTGTTGCCACACTCGAGAGATCATCTATCCTTATGCAGTTGCACTACACCCCCAAGTGAGGGCTAGTGCAGCCAGCCTATCTGCCTGCTTGTTCCCACACACCTACATGGCCAGAGCAAAATATCCACATTGCCACTTGATGAGTGATGAGGTCAGTATCACACCAGCAGCCTTTACTTCCCAGAATATTTTATGTTGCCCATTTTAGACTTCAATTGCATGGAACCTAGGTCAAACTTTTTTTTTCTCTTCACTTTTCAGTGGAGGCTCAGCACGTGACCACTGGGTTGACAAGTATGTGGGCAGTCCACTTTATTACTTCAGTATCTTTACATCAGTTTAAAAAAAAAAACAGTAACAGTAAAGGTGCCTTTTACATCATTTATACATTGAGGTTTTTGTACTGCACTTAAATTTTTATAGACTAATTGGCACTCAATGGGTGATGTAGTCAGCATGACGCCAGCCATTTTTACTTCCCAGGACATGACCTTGTACCTATTTTAGACTGGATCGACTTAGGAACCAAGGTCAGTTTTTGCTTTGATTCAAACCCAAGACCTTTTGGACTTACTAGTCTACTGGAGTTTGACATATTTAGCAAAGTGAAATTAGGATATGTTTGTTAGTTTGTTTATTGTTATTGGATCTTCAGAGCCAATATATGTGTGGTGTTTTTCCAGTATTTTGTTTTTGACTTGAAACAGAAAGAATTCATACTGTTATTTTCATTTACATCCTTGCGATAGCTCTCGTTCAAGGGTAAAGGGACACCTGACCTTGTACTTGGCTTACCTCCCCTCTGATGATAGTGTAGATGGGGCTGATGATACTGCATCTGGAGTGACTCCAAATGAGGTAATCAGCTACCATTTTATAGTAGAAATGTATTTCTTTTTTCTTTATTAAAAAAAACTTAATTACAATTGGTTTTCTTAAGTAGATTTATTTGTCTTTTTTTTCCTTTAAAAAAATTGATTATAATTGGTTTTGCTAAGTAGATTTGTCTTTTTTTGCTTTTAAAATACTTAAATATAATTAGTTTTATTAAGTGCATTTATTTGTCTTTGAATCCAAAGCAGCCAGGATGGGAATTGGTAGATGCTGATGCTGCCAGGTCTGCAGATGTGGGAGCTTCGGGGCCAATTGTACCAGAACCTCCTCCAGCTGTCAGTGAAGCTGGAGGGAATCACAGTGAGCAGCAGCAGCCACTGCCTGCAGGATGGGAGCAACATACAGATCCCACCGGCAAGGTTTACTATGTCAACCACACCACACGCACAACACAGTGGAATAGGCCCACAGAGTAAGTGAATGAATTAACCACTGACATCACTGTACTCTGGACGTTTCCATTTATGCTCCCTCCCTTCTTTTTTTTCCCCAGTGGCCAACAAAGTGTTCCCATGCTGTTTGTGCTTTTTGCAACCTGATTAATAAAGTTGCCCTAAAATTTCCTCTTCGAGTAGATTATAGTGCAGACCCTCTGCTCACTCCAAGCTGATTCGTTATCTGCAGACATGATAGCTTTGTCTGGGTTTTTTTTTTTTTCAGTTTACTTGGTCTCAGCAAGCCCTACCATCCATTTTATCATTGGAAAGCTTCCACTCTCATTTTCATGCTAGTTGTTGTGACATTATACACAATGATTTCTTTTTGTGTGTGTGTGGATCAACTTCCATTCTCCTTTGTAGTGAAATCCCATCCACTCTGTCTATTTTTATAAACCTCTTGCTGCGAACCCATCTGTGGATATAATGAGATCAGCTGGGTATGAGGTTTCATTGATCCGTTCTTGCAGCTCCAGTGCTTCTGTTTCACCAGGTGGTCATTCCTGCCACCCTTAGGCCAAAGTCAGCAAAGTGTTAGCGGTAGTGGTAACTGTTATAAAAATTTAAAATCTTGGAATGAGGACATATATTTCCCCAAGTTTAAGACGCACTTATATTTTCAAAAACTATAGTGTCAAAAAAGCAGTGTGTGTGTTATACAATGGTAGTAGATCTTTATATGTGTTTTAAAATTTTATTTAAACATTTCCATTCCCAAAATCAAAGTGTGTCTTATGCAAGAGATCATATTATACTTGGAAAGATATGGTAAATTACAAGTTTATATTTTTCTTATAGAACTAGTCCTTACAGGTGTATCCCTGGAAATTAAAAGAAGGATGAGCTTGCAAAGGCTTCAGGAAACAACATGCAGCCTCACCTATTTCATGACTTAAAAGAAGTAAAGACACTGTTAAAACAATGTTTGAAGGTGAATTGGATAAAAGATTACAGAAACTACAGACAAGAGCATGACATCATTAAATAGTCTCAGCAGAAATGCTCAGAACTAAATATTTTGTACAGATCAGGAGACTAAACTCAGAGCACACCTGCATCTTCTGACTACAATTCTGAAAGTTAAGTAAGTAAAGGACCCTTTTTCCACATCTTAAGGCATATAGGGCTAGACCTATATTTTATTTACCAGTCAGCACGCAGTGAGTGACTACAACTCTACAACCACACACAAAATGTATGTCAATTATTTCAGCCACATTTATTAATAAGCTGTGTGGGTGATCCTGGGATGTACATGAGACACCCCGGTTGTTTGCATGCGATACATTCTTGCATTGCCGACTATTGCAGATAGGCTAAAGGTGCTGACGGTGAGAGGAAAGAGAAGAGCCTTAGGGTTCGTAGCAAAAGACAATGGCAATTCTTTAGCGCAGGACAGCCTAGCATATGATACCACAACATCTAGAATGAAAATGGAGATGGAGGAGGTCACTGCAACTTATGGTGGCTAAAGAACAAGATGCAAACACATGTTCTAATTGTAACATACTCTGACAGCATGCTGAGAAAGGGAAGACAGGGTTGCTTTGAGCAGAGTGGCAAGTTTCACATAGAAGGTCAGGGGTAGTGAGCATACTTTGGATCTTTTCTTCAGGTCATGCCGACGTGGTGTGGAATGAACATGCTGACAGATTGGCTGGACCTGCACCACTGGTTGGGGAATTGATACATGGTAGATGTGATCAGGGCCCTTTGGGAACAGATAATGAAGTCAGAAGAGAAATATGATTTTAATGGCTTGTTGACTCAACTCAACTCAACTTATTAATTTCTTGAGAACATGGGTCTGTAGTCTGAAAGCTTGATACGACTGTAACATTATGAGCCACAAATCAGATGTCAATCCAACAGGAACAGATCCCAGATGCTTATTTCAAAGATAATTAGGAACCTGATGTTTTAACTCTTTCAGAAACAAATAGTGCACTATGTTTCTGAATAATTTCATGATAAACCTATTCTTCTGTTTCAGACAGGTACTGTTTATATCCGACTGATAAGTTTGACTACTTCTGTCTTTAAGGACAGCAGTTTATGATAGAAGAAATTAATGTAATGACTTCTTGGGACTGCAGAATTTAAGAACAGGAAACATAATGTACATAAAATGTTTCAGCCACGCTAATGTAGTATCATAAATGTAAGATGTATGTTACAAAGTATGAAATTATCATAAGTAACTATACTGGGAGGGGAGTAAATAGACAGATGCATATTTGATCTTTAAGAAATGTAGAGGGGTTTCACAGCCAGCTTTATAGCTGTATTTTTTTTTTCAAAGCAATGTTTTGTCACTCTTAATGACTAGCACAGTCACTAAATTATGTGCAGGTTAAGATTTTTTTTAAACAAAAGCAAAAAAGTGGCCATGATCTTATTGGAAGACCTGGGTTTGAATCCTCAGTAATGGGATGGAAATGGTTCTTATAGGGGTACCAATTCAAACTCTAGCCTGCACAGTTTATGGTGACTTGTGGCCCTAAATCTTTTGGCTCACTAATCCTTTTTTCTTTCCTACACCTCCCTAGAAAGATGAGGAGAGGGAACACTTTTAGAACATCTTGCGAACTTGCAGCATAAAAACAGATTGTGGCACAGTTTAAGGTTTAATTCTCTTTCATCTCAGGTTTTCAGCCCTTCCACCAGGATGGGAGGAGAGAACAGATGCCAATGGAAGATATTACTATGTCAATCACACAACTCGCACTACACAGTGGGAGAGACCCACAGGGTATGTATACACAGCCAGCTTGATGTTCTTTTCAAATGTCTGCCTTTTTCTTTTTTTACAATGTCTTAACCCTCTGGAGATGACGTGGCCGAAATACCAGCCCAACGCAAAGTAGCCAAAAGGACAGCTGGGCCGATCGGTAGGCCCTGTGTAATAAAAGCCTTGAGATTGGCTGACAGGTTTTCATACCAGCCAGTCAGATTGCTTCTCGCATTTTTTGCACATGGGGGCTGTTTAATGACAGCTTTTGAGAAATTTTGATGTATTCTGTAATTTTGTAGTGACTTTTTTAAGGTGGGCTTACCTGTGCCCAAAGACGACGAAAAAGCCTGTTGCGTCATAGCAACCGTAACATAGCAGAAGGCATGAAATGAGTAGAACCATGTGTCAGAAGTGTCTAAACGGCCTCCATGGGCTTTATTTCCCACAAACACAAGTCTTAGGACTTATTCAGGCTTCACCCAGGGGCTGTGTGGTCTAAGGTATGGTGTCCTCCTCAAGTGCTAGAGGTTCCTGGTTCAATCCCCGGTAAGGGCTGGGATTTTTTCACATGGACTTGGACTTCTAGTAATTCCCCTTGGCCTCTGGATAGTAAGATTGGATGCCCTTGTGTATTGTTGCGCACGTAAAAAATCCCTTGGCGGTTGGAAATCAAAAAAGAGTAGCCTAGCAGGACTGCCCAGGCAAAATTTGGAGTTAAAAATCTACCCAAAGTATTTCAGGAACCTCGTCTGTGGTACAGATCCTGTGCACTGTGCTGAGCTTCTTTGGACTCAGACTTGAGTTAGATGAAGAACGGAGCACTTATGGGTTTACTACCTGTGTGCCAATATGTTGATTCGTTGTTCAAACCTCAGGCTTCATCCATACAAAAATACAGTCAAATTTTTCAGGTTAGTCATTTTTGATCCCAAAGTTAAAAAAAAAAATGCCTGCATAAATTTTGCAAATCGTAATAGTTAATTTGAATAAATGTTGAGTTTCAGTTTGATTTATACATATTCTGTTAGTTCATTCATTTTCCTCCCCGAATAAATATATATATATAGTTTTGTATACGTTAACTACACGCTTTTTGTTTTAAAATAAATTTTTGTGTAAACTAAGAGATTTCTTCCCCAAAGGCTTGGTCTTTTTGGCACTGAAACTCCAACAAAGCTCTGTATCCAAAGGGTAAAAACTTCTGTTTTAAATATAGCTGATACCTTAAATTTATAGAAGAAAAACTGCTGTAATTGTAAGATTTAAAAACTATCTTTTTATGAAATATAACGTGAACAGTCTCTGCGGTTACTCCATTTTCTTTGAACAAACATTGTTTTTTATGTGGTAGGGCTGATAGAGAAATGTTTGGAGAAAACTTGTTAAATGTACAAGGCTGATGTCAGGATCACTAAAAGAGAGAGAAATAAACAGAAAGCTGTTCGTACATGTCGAGGCCCCTTGGGCATGTAGTGCTACTGCATATTTATTTTAGTAGGCACTGTGTTAATGATGTGGTTAATTTCAATAGGCACCGTGTTAGTGATGTGGTTAATTTCAATAGGCACCGTGTTAGTGATATGCTTAATTTCAATAGGCACCGTGTTAGTGATGTGGTTAATTTCAATAGGCACTGTGTTAGTGATGTGGTTAATTTCAATAGGCACTGTGTTAGTGATATGGTTAATTTCAATAGGCACCGTGTTAGTGATGTGGTTAATTTCAATAGGCACTGTGTTAGTGATATGCTTAATTTCAATAGGCACCGTGTTAGTGATGTGGTTAATTTCAAT